TAATGAGTTATCATTTCTTTACAAGTAGTTGAAAGTTCCTGGAAGGCAAGTAATTGTGCTCAGACTTTAAAAACTGTAATTTATTTGGAATAGGTAACATGTTCACAGGATTCAAAAGTCAAAAGGTCCTACCAATAAAAGTCTCCTACTAGGAACCCAATATGCCACTCCAAAAGCAACCAGTCTAAATAGCTTCTTGTGTGGGTACCTGGGTGGCTCAGTCAGTTAAGTGTCAGCCTTTGGCCCAGGTCATGATCTCAGGGTCCTGGGATTGAGTCCCACATTGAGCTCCCTGCTCAGTAGAGAGTCTGCTTCTCCCTCTGCCCCTCCCCACTGCTCATGCTCTCCCTCAAAAAAAAAAAAAAAATCTCAAAAAAAAAAAAACAGCTTCTTATGCATCCTTTCAGATATACATTTTTTGCATGTACAAGCAAATGTGTATCTACATTTTTTCCCTTTCAAGAAATGCAAAATTTATATCTGGAAGGATATACTATACTATATAGATATATAAAATATACAAATTAAGTATACATTTTATACATACGAAGTACCTAGTGAGCAAAGTGTCCATAGTATAAACGTTGTATACATTATTAATATAATGTGCAAAGTGAACATACTGCACTCTCCTATACCTTCTTTTTTAATTTAACAATAAATGTATCTCAGAGATCTGTTTCATATCAGTACTGAAAGAAGTTCCTTATCTGTTTATGTAGCTGTCTAATATAGTATTCTCTTGTTTGGATTCTGCCGCCCCATTCATTTAACCAGTTCCCTATTGATGGACATTTGGGTTATTTCCAGTGTTTTGCTATTATAAACAAAGCTGCAATGAAAATCCTTACACATATGTCCTTTTTCACATATGAGACTATAACTGTAGGGTAAATTTCTGTAAGTGGAATTCCTGGATCATGTATAGTTTTGATAGATATCGCCAAATTATTCTTTTCAGAGGTTGCACCAATTTACATTTTCACTAAAATGTAAGGGATCACAGATTTTCTTCTATCATTACATTTATCCTGTAATAAATAAATAAGTAAATGATTTATTTTTTTTTAAGATTTTATTTATTTATTTGACAGAGAGAGACATAGCGAGAGAGGGAACACAAGCAGGGGGAGTGGAGAGGGAGAAGCAGGCTTCCCACCCGGCAGGGAGCCCGATGCGGGACTCGATCCCAGGACCCCGGGATCATGACCTGAGCCGAAGGCAGACGCTTAACGACTGAACCACCCAGGCACCCCAATAAATATGATTTAAAAAGCTGCTCTCCACATGCTATGGTCTCAATGTTTGTGTCCCCCTGCCCCAAATTCACATCCTGAAATCCTAACCCCCAAAGATGATGGTATTAAGATGATACAGCCTTTGGAAGGTTCTTACATTATGAGGGTGAAGCTCTCATGAATGGGATTAGTGTTCCTATGAAAGAGACCCCACAGAGATCCCTTGCCCTTTCGCCATGGGAGGGCACAGCTAGAAGGTGCCAGTTACAAACCAGGAGGAGGATCCTGACCAGAATACAACCATGGTGGCACCTTGATCTTGGACTTCCCAGTCCCCAGAAAGGTCAGAAATAAATTTGTTGTTTATAAGCCACCTACTCTGTGGTAGTTTGTTATAGCAGCCTGCATGGACTAAAAACACACACCATCAGAGGTAGGTGTCTTCTCCATTCTCCCAGGTCCACGCTGAATCTGGCCTCATTGGTGAGTCTCCTAGCACCTGGGATTTCCTCCTTCCCCTACTTTGTAACATTTGCTGTCCTCTCTTCTCACTGTCCTGAGACATTTTCCTTAAACTCTCATATTCCCTAGCACTTGAATTATTACTTAATTCTTCTTGAATACATGTAGCATGTCTTCAGTTAGACAGTATCTTTTCTACAAAGATACTGATATTCTTTCTTTAAAAACATCTAGAATCCAACATATATTCTTAGGAATAGTCATCATCACCTTTTGAGCGTCTGATTCAGAGACATGATCGCAAGTCTCTTTAAAGTGAGCTTGATGACTCAGCAATTAAGAGTCCTACACTTCCTTGAATGATAAATGTTGTCATGTTTGTCTTAAAACTATACGTCTTTTTATGGTCCCACCCGAGACCAGGCCTTAATGCTCTCCTTGACTTCATGCTAGACATCTTACTTCCTTTTCAGAATGTGAAGACTGGAATACATCCAGCTTTATAGGCATCGGCTTGCATATCCATGCTTACTGATCTGAGAACAGTCCTCTCTGAGAGGAAAGCCCCTTTGTTTCCTCAGAGCTGTCTTGGGGACCACTCCTTCTCTCTCACCCTCCCTCCTTCAGATCTCCAATTTGTACAACACGATTTTGACTCTTTTCTTGGTATTGTCTTAAAAGAAGCTACAGAGTAAGAGGGGAAGGAAAGTTTTCAATACACTCTTTTGGAAGAAAATACTTTTTTCGGTATTTTTCAACGCACAGAACTAAGAGTAAGGTGCATAAACAGCAACCATGAAGTAAAGAACTAGGAAGGTAGCTGCAGATATTCCCAGTAACTTTTTCCACTGGGACATTAAACTGGGTGTGGTTTTATAAAGCCTAGAAAACAAGACAATGGACATGCTGGTGCACCAAGGAACAAAATAAATAAGAATATTTTATTAAATTAATGCAGGTGTAAACAATGATAATTAAAATGCAGAACTAAATATCCTCTCTGCATATGTCATTTAGAGTGAAACACAAGACAAGGAGATAAAGTGCCTTACAAATCCAACACCGTAAGAGGGCATTAACATTTAGGAATGGAGTGAATAGACTGTATTCCTGCTCAGCCAGAATGCTCCTTATACGTCACACAAACAAGGGATGCTGTACAGACGAACACGTGTGAAAAGACTTGGAGATTCTGTTTCTTCAGCCTTGACATGAGGCAAAACAAAGGTTTTCTTTGTCGATAATCCAGGTAAACGGCCAAGAGAGCAGGAATATGCTGGGAGGCATGGGAACCTCAAAGCCTTTGAAATGCAACACCTTAGATCTATGTAGTGATGAGAACTGGTCTGACTAAGGGGTTCAGGCACAGCTCATGGCCTTTTCTAGCAGAGGCGAGAGTCAAGGTACATTACTGGAATTTCCAAAAAAAACAAAAACAAAAAACCCACCCCTGTCTTTTTGCAACTGCAATATCAAAGCCTAGTTCTTTTACTCAAGAGAAAACAGGTAGGAAAAAACACAAGTTCCAGACATGATTCTATCATGCAGAATTAGTAATAAAGTCAGCCTTTAGGACTAGGCTGAGCCAGTGTACCCTGGAGAACCCAACGGTCTCACTTTGGGAAATGCAAAATAAACCAAATCCAAACTCAGTCATAGAGCAATAAGTCAACAAATGCTCGTTGTCCAAGCATCGATGAGGTACATATTTAGCATGTACTAAGTCTTATAAAAGATACTAACAGGCTATGGAAATGCTGATCTAGAAATAAACAAGGCACAGTGCCTGGCCTCTGGGAACTTTACATTTGTTCCAATGGTCCCATAAGAAATAATACATTAAATAAAAATAGCAAAGTGCACAGCAGGAGAATAGTGTATTACCACTTATGTGAATAAAAATATACTTTATATATCTACATATATTCATAGACTATCTTTAGAAGACTACAAGAACAAAAGACAAGAGTGGCTGCTTCTGGAAAGGAAATCCGATGGCTAGGAGGATGGAATGGGGACTTTTTAATGTCTCCTCTTGGACCTTCTGAATTTTGAATCATGGAAAGCTTTGAATTCAAACTTTAGCAGCACTTAAATAAAAAAAAAGAGAGAACTGCTGAACAATACCAACACCATATACATAAGCATCAGATTGCATGGCAAAGGCAAATAAATCAGACACAAATATAATGATAGAAAAGGAACTCAAGAGTTATCTTCCACAATTTTTAAAAATACTGACTTACCCTCATAAACTAAAATCACTTTAAAATGTATTTTCACCTTCCAGGGAACACACTGCCGGGCTGTCCAGGGCATGCCCTCCCTTTGGCAGCCTTTCTAGACTCCTGTTCATGTTGTCATTCTCCTCCAACACCTTATGCTATGACACTGCACTGAACTGTAATAATGAATTTCCTTATCAATCTCCCCATGATACTATGAGCTCCTAGAAGAGAGGTTCTTTGTCTTGCTCAATCACTGCCTGGCACACTGACATGGGTGCTTCCTAAATGTTTTCTGAATGAATTTCTTAAAGCAAAACACAGCTCTAGACGTTATTCTAAAAGGACTGTGGGTGACAGCTGTGGAAATCTGAGGTCTGCTACTTACTGACTCAGGCAAGTTACTTTAGCTCTCTGCTCCCTCAGCTGTGAAATGGGTTTGAAAAGAGTGCTTACCACAACACAGCTATCCTAGGCATTAAATGAGATTCTGTGTGTAGGATACCACATCGTTGTTAACACGGATACTTAAAATGGAACAGATACTGCAGTAACATATCTTACCTTAGGGTCTGAGAATAAGATTATTCAAGGCAACCAAAGTACTGGTGGGTTAAACAAGGTAATATCCTATACAAACCACGGGCCTGTTCTCTATGCTTCCTATGTTCTGGTGGCTGTGGAGGATACCAAGGACCCTTATAAGTACTACACATTTTATTGAACATGCACAATTCACTAAGCAGTAAGTTTAGTTTTGTGACAAAATTTTAACTTCTTCTACAATATATCTTCCAAAGAAATCATTCACAACCACACTCACGTGACAAGACTCCAAAGACTCCAAATAAATAGAAATAACATACTTAAATACTGTTGCAACACTGGGACACTCAGTCATACAGACGACAAACAGAGACGTTGAGTGAAGGCAAAGGGCACTTCTGCAGGAACTGACCATTAAATCAGGGAATCTCAACTTGTTTTCCTAGGATGAGCGATGAACGATTTGTGTGGGGGCTCATCTTTCAGAAGCATCCCTCCTCTCTCCCGTAGGTGCCCATGAGTCTCCCAGTCATTCTGAAGTACCAAGGTCTCCTTGCAGGCTACCCGCTCTGCTCCTTCTTGCTTTGTTCTCCTCTTCTCTCCCAGCTTCCACTGCTGAGTGATTGGATCTGGTCAGTCCTACAGCATCTGCAGCTTGCCTGGCCCACTGCACTGCTCTGGTCACGCGTAGCTCTGCCGAACTCAAACCACAGGCTGAGAATCCCTGCTTTAAGATCAGCAGTTTCAATGCTGGTTTATGTCTCTTCAAATTGTATATCTGGAGAATGATAATGACAAACATAACTCATATTTGCTAGATGATAGAGTATATTTGCAATGAGAGAGATGCAGATTATATTTATGTCCAATTATCTTTATATAATAAAGTGTAACCAACCATCTGGTTTGCCCGGGTTTGTTCTGGTTTTAAAACCGAAAGTCCCATATCCTGAAAAAACCCTTAATTATGGGCAAATCAAGAGAGATGGTTGGTCACCCTAGGATACTCCAAACAACATTCACTATTTAGTTTTATAAAACAGTTGAATGGAATTGACCACATAACGAAACCTGCCTGAGCTCATCCAAACTACTTAGATTACTTTAAATTAGGGCTTTTGTTGTGAAGTTTGGTTTCCAACTGCATTAAAAAGAATTAGAAATCTTAATATAACTTTCTTCTTAGTTCAGTCAGGTGGATAAAGTCTTTCTGACCTTTTATGAACGGACACATTTTTGGTGAAATGAATTTAAGTGGATAAGTTAAGAGTAAAGTTCTATAGTCAGGCTAGTGGGCTCCAAAGCCTGATTTCTCTCAGGTATGAGTCCTTGGGCAATTTGATATATCTTCTTGACTCTCTGGTTTTTTCTACCGTAAGATGGGAAATATCCTAGTATTTATCTCTTTGATTTTGTTGGGGGGAGATTAAACGAGGCACTGCATATGAAGCAGTTAACATAGTGCCTGCTACTCAAGTTTTATCTCTCTCTCTCTCTCTCTATCTACGTTACTCACCCACATGTCAACTTAGTCCCCTTTTGCAGGGAGCTGTTAGGATGCAGAGCTATAAATCTAGCAGAGAGAAGATGCCTCCTCCCCCATCCCCAAAGATGCTCACCACTCTACACTTCAGGGCCATCTCTAAATCTCCTTGGACTATGGGGAGAGTTCTTATATTAGAATTGTGAGGCAAAGAGGGGTCAGTAGCTCCAAGAGCCAGCATTCTTTAAAGTGAGGAGAGATTATGGCTGATAGGTCTCTCCTTTTTATTACTTTCACTTTTTGTTTCTTTTTAAAACTTTCAACTTCCTAACCCCTGCTAATATTCTTACCATTTTGTTTCTTTGAGTTCCTATCTCGGATGCCACATTTTTCCACATCCATCATTTTCCCTTGAGAAAAAAAAGTCATTTTTATTCCCATGTAACACAACTCTACATCCCATGTAGTGACTCAAGTTTGAATTCCAAGTTCCTATGAAACATTTTTAATCCCCTAGGATATCTGGTAGACTTCTGAATTTATTCCATGGGTTCCAACCCCTGAGGTCAATTCAACAATTTAGGGCATATGCTTTTGCTCCTAGATTTTATTTTTTAAGTTTATTTATTTTTTTAGTAATCTCTACACCCAACGTAGGGCTCAAAGTCACGACCCCAAAATCAAGAGTCGCATGGTCTTCTGACTGAGCCAACCAGGTGCCCCACTCCTAGATTTTCTTTAGGAATATACACTTTTAATTCTCCATCCTTCCCTCAAAGATAGACCATACACTGAGGCACTTTATTATACATTCCTAATGATGACTAATTACTTTTCATGGGGAAATATTCAAAATGCAAGTTGGCAAGAGTTACTTCCTTGAAATCAACTCCATCTCAGGATCATCATTATCATTGGACCTTGAGCTTTGTATTCTGGCTAATTGTCTCAGTTCTGTTAAATACCTATTCTTTAGAAATAGCTGACCTCTACTCAATTACACCACTTTCCCAGATCCACCCCTCCTTTTAAGGGGCTGTGGGGAATTTTTCAACCACCGTTGGAATTCCCTTCCATCTTCCACTTCCCTATTTGACCTCAGATAACTCTACACACAGATCATCACTGGATCCCCTGCTATACTTCTCAAAGTACTGGGAAATGTCTACTTTGAATCATCTTAAAAGGGGAGGAAATTATTTGAATAGACGCATTTTCCTGTGTTTTAATTGTTCCCATGGGCAAATAGAGAAATAAACACATGCAAATTACTTTGAAAATTATATAGCACCCTCAGCCAGAAATCTTGTAAAATACTCTATGGTAAAACCATCACCGCTCTACAGAAAAAAACTATTTTTATTCCTTAGGGTGCCCAGAAACCAGCTCAATATAACAGTGCAACTAATGCAAGACTCAAATTCAACTGAAGCCGACAGGCATTTTAGCTTTTTGTCCCTTACTCTAAGTCTGTGGTTATTTGCATGATGGAAAGAAACTGTATGAAGCTTGGTCTTCTTCACCCTCTGTACATACCCATTCTCCCACCTCTCACCCCCACACACATGATCTTCACCCAGCAATCCTGCTGGGCTTTGCTGTCATTGCTATTGAATAGTGGAATGTCTTTGTGCCACCTTGCAAAGGCAAATCAGGTTTCCCTGCAGCTACGATCCAACTGTCACCCCCTTGGAAATGCTCCTACAAGTGTTCACTGCCACCTTCCAATATAAGCTATGCTGCAGGACAATGAAACGAACATGACTGGAGTAAGAGATGAGACACAGTTTCACATGGTAGCAGAGCTGAAACCCACTTTGCATAATTGAAAGTTGGCCCTAGAAGAGAATGCTAATAGGAAGGCAGCATTTTATAAATCCGTGTTTCCTGATTGGGCCACCACTAGCATTCTGGGGAGGAGAGTTCCCTGTTACATGGGACTGAGCCGCACATTACAGAAGGCTGAGCATCCCTGGCTCTGCCTATAAGTGCTGCCGTGAGAACAGTAGCAGCCCCGTTACATTGCCCCACGTGCCCCGTGGAGACCATTGCAATAAAGGAGATACCATTTCTCTTTAGACAGATGACTGCCAGGGTTACAGCAAGAAACACCAGGACAGCTCCTAGAACCACGAAGTGAGTCCTCTCATTTGGTGGAACTGGAAGGGGTTCTGAAAAACAAAAGAAAACAAAAAGAAACTAAAGATGAAATTTTGATGGGAAGGGGTCAAGAGAATAATCATCCTTGAAGTTGAATTTCGGTTAGCTTTGGGTTACAGTGAGTGGCTGGAATGGTGGGATGCTGGCAGGAAAACGGGAGCAGCCCAGAAAAGGGGAAGGAGCCCAGGCTTTGGACAGATGGGTTGGGGTTACATTCTGCTGCCACTCACTAGCTTTGAGATCTCAGGCAAATCCTTTCACCTGCTTACAAAATGGAAATGATAATAAATTTATTGGGAGGCCAATGTTTGTGAAGTGCTTATCACACACAGGTAGTTGCTGCTCAGTACTAAAAGGGAGGCTCGGTGACCTCTCTTGCATTCTTTAATCTAGAAGCTAGCAGCCTGTTGTACGTGGTAAAGATGGGACAGGAAGGCCAACTGGCACTGCCCAAGAGCTTCCACCTCCTAGTGTATGTGGCCATGATTCAGGGCCATCGCTTGCTATCTTTTCTTTCTCAGTTTGAATATCTCAGGACATCTAATCCTGGGTACTTCTTACCAATCTGTCTGTGGTTCCATGAAGGAAGAAAAGAGGTCCCCTGGCACACGATGCTCAGAGACTGCTAAGTCCCTCCTCCCTCCATTGGTCATGATCCCTGATGACATCGTTCAAGCTCTAAAGCCACAACAGTGGTCAGCCTTCCTCTAGTAGCTTACAGTTTACAAAGCCTGTTTATATCTATTTTATTTCAATCTCAAAATAAGTTCAGTTTAGGCATGCAAGATGTTAAAAAAAAATCCAAGGTGATAGATGAGGAAACAGACCCCAAGCAGTTAGGTGAATTACCCGAAGTCTTCCCACAGATAAGTTGTCATAAAGCAACTTATAAATGGCAGGAACCCATGAATGCAGCCCTAGCTACCAAAGTGACTCATAACCCAGTAAGAGCATCTCTTTAAGTTTCTCGACTTTTTTTTTTTTTTTTACTCTTTTCATTCATGGGACCATCCTGTATTGCCTTTTCCTATTGGTTGACTTTTCCACCCGAGTTCTTAGTTGTTTTTCCTGAAGTAGCTGAAGCTATACTGGCAACATCTACTAGAAGAGGGGGCATTGAGAAGTGCTTCTCAGAACACCTCTGGGTTTATGTTAACATCATGCTCTCCTGCCTCACTTTCTCTAAAGGTCTCAGCCTCTCATCAGACTATGCAGCCCACTGTACCCACTCCTGTAGGGTAGTAAGAAAAAAAATAATTGAGTCTGTGCAGGGAAGAGCCTCAAATCATTTTCATATGCTGTAGCTCATTCGCCCCTATGGTAACCTTGCCCGATAGTTTATAACTGTTATAACTAGGGAAAGTGAAGCACACAGAAGTTGAGGAGCTTAGGCAGGGACCAAAACCTTATGTCTTACACACTAAGCAGATAGACTGCTTTGTGTTGAAATGTCATAGACTATCTTGGGGGTGGGGTGGACAGATAGGGTACGTTCCATTTGCTTGTTACCACAGAAACCCTGGAAAGAGAGGAGCAGCTCTGATGTGCTGGGATCTGGATTCCTGAAACACTGCCTGAGCTGAGTCTTCCTCAGACCATCTCCTACATGGGATGGGATTGCCTTATCTGTTTCTTATCTGTTTCCCGGAGAGTGTGAACAGTGTCTTACTCTTCTATGAGCCCCTGCTGCCTGGCACATAGGGCATATTCAATAAATATTTGCTGAATGTTTATTAAACAGCAATATGACTTGGATGGAGAGGAGGAAGCATTTTGTAAATATAGTGTTATACATGCATTCACTTATTTAATGAATGATGGATGCCTACAATGAACAGGCACCATGCTAGAGGCCATAGGACAGCAGTAGGCACATTTGAATAGAGACATTCAGAATATTACCTGGAATGACCAACTTAGCAGTATTGTTTCTGTTTCCCTCAGGACCTGATCTTCGAAAAGTGCAGTAGAAAATCTCGTAAGCTGTTGTGTTGACTCTCAGTGTGCTGGTCACATTGAAAAGCTTCTCCTCCCTGTTGGAATTAGTGATGGTGGTTTTGCCACTCAGGACTCGATGGTCACTGCTTGTCCAGATGACTTCAGCCTCAGGGTAACCCTCAGCCTGACACATTAGTTCGTGTTCAGAGGTGACAGGATCCACAGAAATTCTTTGGTTGATTTTGCGGTATGGGGCTAGGTCATGAGCAAAAAGAAGTCAGGGCTTTCACTTAGGACAAAACCAGATACGTGGCTTGGTGTTGTCTACATTAGGAAAGGTATCAATTCAGGCGGGTTCTCAGAGAAATAAGCTTGATGTTCAGATGTCTCAGCAGTGAGGAACCCGTTAGCTCTGCTTCAACTTGCCCGTTCACAGTTGGGCTACGTTTGAGCTCAAAGGAACAACTACCTAAAATCATATTGCTATTTTTATTGGGCTCCAAGTAAATTCACAGATTAAAGAGAATTGTCATCTTTAAACCAATAGTCTTTCTATCCAAATATAAAATATGTCTGTCCATTTAATCAAGTCTTTGTATCTTTCTCATAATGCTTTATAGTTTTTGCATAGGGCCAACCCATTTCTTCTTGAATTTATTCCTGGATATTTTCTTTTTGTTGTTGTAATGCTGTCTTCGTAACATGAACCTCTCCAGCTGCCCAGCACAGTTTTCTTAGACTTTATTTAATAAACAGAAAATCTGATTTTCATGTGCCATTCACTTTACCTACTGTGAGTCAATGATCAGAAATTAAGTATGAAAAGAATATGGTATCATTATAAAAACTGGTATGTGCTCCTGGATAATACTTTTTAAAGTTTGAATTTATTTTTTACTTCAAAATAGTTTTCGGGGCGCCTGGGTGGCTCAGTTGGTTAAGCGACTGCCTTTGGCTCAGGTCATGATTCTGGAGTCCCGGGATCTAGTCCCACATTGGGCTCCCTGCTCAGCAGGGAGTCTGCTTCTCCCTCTGACCCTCTTCCCTCTCGTGCTCTCTCTCATTCTCTCTCTCTCATATAAATAAAATCTTTAAAAAAAATAGTTTTAGATTTACAGAAAAATGGCAAAGATAGTCGAAAGTCCCCCCATACCTATCACCCAGTTCCCCCCTACTGTTAACATCTTATATTACCATGGTGCATTTGTCATAACTATGGAACCAATGTTAGCACATTACTATTAGCTAAACTTCACATTTCGTTCCATTTCACTTTTTTCCCTAATGTCCTTTTTCTATTCTAGGATCTCATCCAGAATACCACATTATGATACTTATTTTTTGAACTTTTTTATGCTGGCTATTTGAATAAGTCATTTAAATAATTATTATACTCAAAGAAAGTTCAAATTTTAGATCATCGATTAAAATTTAGCTCATTGTTTTGGGACCTTTTAGGATTAAGATACCATGTGTACTATTTTAGTAGATTATTTAATGCATTTACATCCCCTAAGATCTTTATTTGTTTATTCATGACAAGCATGGTAACGTGTCATTATTCTATTAGTATAATCTTTATTTTACTCCTACTACTTTAGTGTAACCACCAGTGATCCACCCAGAGCCTTGACTCTCCATTCCTTTACAAAAGGTTTAACAGTGGCTTTGTGATAAGATATATTCACAGAGATTTAATACAAAACACTAAGAATCAAACAAGACTGAAATAACGATGTGATATTTTTGTGCTCTTAAATCAATGAAACAACCAATAGAAACACTGGAAATCAACATAATTATAATTTCAAAACACATAAATAATGGTTCTCATGAGTACTTGAGTCCTCAACCTTGTATCTGTTATATTTAAGAATCCTTTAAAAAAATAAGTACACTGATTATACTTCCTGAAAGAGTGTTACCATAACAGGGTCTGGTTCACATAGCACAGAGCTTGATTTCTGGGCAATTTAGTTTTCAAGACTAAAATCACAGATAATGGTAAAGTATTAAATGTAAAATGTTTGCTTTTTTACTCTTATAATTTTTAACGGAATAATAAAGGGGAATGTTGCTTCATGCCTAAGCATGTGTATAAATGTGGTATACTTCTCAGGGCCCAATAAATGAGTGGAATAGTTCTACTCACTGATTAGATATCCACTATTCTAGTCTCTAAAGTAGGGCACATGTGTTGGGATACTGGAAGAAAATATTAGAACTTCCACTTATATATTTTTATCATAATAATTAAGAAATAATCTAAGCTTAATAAACTTTACGAATTGACAATGGGCCTCACTTTGTATGCCATATGAGGGTCTTAGGGGAAGAGGGAAGTTTTATAACACCAAAGGAGAATAGTGACTCCTTTGGGCTTATTACAGATTTCCAGATTCTCTTATTTAATTTTAACTAGACTAACCTGCTTACAAAATGAACAACCAATTAAAAATTTTCCCACAACGAAACTGAGGATGGAATACTAATACTTCAAGCACAAACCACAAGGAAGTGGCAGGAGGGACAATTTTTTACCACCACTTTGTGAAGTTAAAACAATAAGTACCTAATTGGACCTGATAAGGTGTTGGTTTAAAAACCCTCAAGATTGTAGATAATGCTGCTATAAACACTGTAGTGCATGTAACCCTTTGACTTAGTATTTTTGTATCGTTTGGGTAAATGCCTAGTAGGGCAATTGCTGGATCACAGGGTAGTTCTATTTTAACTTTTTGAGGAACCTCCATACTGTTTTCCTACAATAGCCAAATTATGGAAATAGCCCATTTGTCCATTGACTGATGAATGGATAAAGAAAATGTGGTATATATGTGCATATAAACACACAAACACACACACACAGGAAATATTACTCAGTCATAAAAAAGAATGAAATCTTTTTTATTTGCAATGATGTGGATGGAGCTAGAGAGTACAATACTAAGTGAAATAGTCAAAGACAAAAACCATATGATTTCACTCATATGTGGAATTTAAGAAACAAAACAAATAAGCATGGGGAAAAAAAGACAGAGAGAGGTAAATGAAGCAACAGACTCTTCACTGTAGAGAACAAACTGATGGTTACCAGAAGGGAGGTGGGTGGAAGGATGGGTTGAATAGGTGATGGGGATTCAGAAAGGCACTTGTGAGGAGCACTGGCTGCTGTGTGAAGTGCTGAATCCCTATACTGTACACCTGAAACTAAAAACACAAAAACCAAACCAAAAACTCAAGATTGTCAAGACCATCCACCTTTGTTAACAATGAATTTCACCTTGAAGTATTAGCTAATGATAGTGAATCATCATAATTAACAAGGCATTAAAATGCGATTAAAGTTTTATTTCTACCTTTAAAAATTTCTATCTTTATACATTTATAGAATGTACAATGCATTAGTTTGAACCATATGAAGTTAGTGATGTTCAACTTCTTTTACCTTTTAAAAATGTCAATTTCTTATGCTATATCCTTTACATTAACACAAGTATATCCCTTCTAACTACACACACACAAATACACACGTATTAGCTAACATGCTTTACTGATGGAGCAGGTTATCAAAAACATTTGCAGACTCCTGGTTTACTAGATATAGAGTACACATGTGCTAATCCAATGGTCACATCAAGACTAAGAAGAGCTCACTGTAGTTTTAAAGTCAATATACAACTTCATACACACTCTGGAGGTATAAATACTGGGAGTAAAACCTGGTTGTTATGGGCACAGACTTCAGAACTAGATTACCTGAGTTCAGAACCTGGCTTTACCACTTAATGGCTGAGTGAACTTGGGTAAATTACTTAATTTCTTTGGGCCTCAATTTAATCCTTCATAAAATGAGAATAACACCACACACATCATTGAATCTAAGATGCCATCTATTGAAAGACACACTTAGATACAGAGATAGTAAAATGTGAAAACATGCATCTTAGAGATAATGAAGCCCCTGCCCCATAGAGTCATTGAGGATTAAATGAGTTAGTATAGGCAAAATGCTTAGGACAAGGCCTGGCACATAATAAGTACTACGTAAGTGTTAATTACTACTATGATTACTACTAGAGCTGCCCCTCCTCTTCTTACTACTACCACTTAAGTGTACTCATGTAATAGTCTTCAGAAAGTACTGGCAATTCCTCATGAACAGACTTTAAAATAAGTTTTCACACATTCAAACCTGTTCATGTTTCAAAATCTTTACCCTATCCTATTTGAGGAACTATTTCATTCATTCAACAAAAATTTTTGTGTGCTCTGTCAAACTCCTCTCGTATGCCAAGTCCTAGGGATAGAGCAGTGAATAAAACAGACCAAAATCTCTGCCTTTGTGGAGTATATATTCAAGAAAGAGGAGAGCGATAATAAAACAGGTGCATTTATATGTGTTAGATGGGGATGAATAGGTTACATGATACATTAGATGGGGAAGAATACTATAGAAAAAAATCTAGAGGCTGGCTGGTGAATCAGGGAGAGACGGTGTCAGTGGAGAATGATGGCAGTTAATCCTGGGTTCATATGAACAAATTAGCTTTATCAGGAGAGCTATGCAATACTTTGTTCTTTCAGTTGCCTAATCCCATTTAAGGTCTTTAAAGTATAAATGGGTATTTCATTTTCCTCACTATTAGGTTCGATGATTAAGGAAAAACAGCATTCTCAATTGGAAGTCAGATGCCTGAGAGTATGATATTTAAACTGAGAAACACGAAAGGTGCAATAATACCCACAGTGATAATAATAATTGAGTTAATCCAAAACTAAACTCTGAACAGATTTCAGTTTTGAAATGCTTCACCTATAAAATCCCATGGTTAGTAAACTCCCTGTGGGGAAGCTGTGCCACCACATGTTTGCCGTGATGGGAAGAGAAGTGTTACTGTGAAATCATTTGCATAGATAGGTGACTCAGGAATTGTACTTCCTTGAGTTGTGAAGCTCATGCAAGAGGACTATTTCTATTGGTGACACTGCCTCAATGCAAGTGAAGCTTGGTGGCTGGCTTGCTCTCAGTGTAGCTCAACTCAACACCCAAGACCACTGTGTGCAAATGACCACAAAATGGACTGGGACTAGGATGCCAATTTAGTAATTTATAATATAAAACGAAATGGTCAAAACAAATCAGATCCTCAAATCTGGCTGGTCATCTGCTTTGCTCTATCAGGAACCCCTTCTTGGAAAAACCTTCAGTGCCAAAATGTTTCCTACTGTGTTGAGCCATAACAAAGGACATCACAGATCAACAGTGGACATTACAGAGCCCAGAGGACCTGAAAGAACACCCTTCCTTGTTACAGGACAGCTGTCCTACTCTTCACATACTCCCTAAGGGCTGATGAGAGACCCTCTCTTCTAGAAGCAGAAACTTACACTCTACACTTCCTTTCACCTGACTGCCAGGCTTATGTTCTTCCTCCCCAGCCCAGATCCAGCAATGCTGGTCATTCATGGGGCTAAGTGTTGATAATTTCTTTAAGGTCACGAAACACAGTCAGTGCCTGATATTTGCTGATGGCTGAAGAAAAGTTGAAAATCCCAAATTGGGATCCCACCAGCTTGCTTTCATAAATATCACTGTTCTGGAGAAGTATATGGCAAAATATAATGGAAATTAAATCTACTTCCCAATACAAGTGACATCTTCTTGACCACAGTAGCATTAATTGACCCAGAATCAGAAACCCAGTAATGTGCCATTAAAATAGATGCATTTCTCCCAGTTGCTCTATAATTTTGACTGAGTTTACAATGATCATTTATCCCTTTATGATAAATGTAAACTTCTTCTACTTGTAATATTGATCTTCAGATTGAAGGTAGTTAAGCCAGAATGGAAAGAACAAGGAGTGATGACTGGATTCTGATCAGAAATTCAAAGGTCATCATGTAAACAAAAGAAGCAGGCAGATAATCTCAAAACTATGACTAGAGAGGGCAGATATCAGCTCAGTTTCAGACAATAATTTCAAAAGGCTATGAAAGGGAGGTCCAAGTGACCGGGTGTCATTGTGGAAAGTATGTGAGCAGAAGATCCCTTAGGGGGATTTCTGTTCTTCAGGAGTTTGGATTAGCTGCTCTTACTTGGGATCCTTTCATCTCTCAATTCTATGAATCTTAACAGTGAAAGTAGAGGGGGTCACTTAAGGTGTTTTCCTTTTCTTATCTAGTAGCAACACAAAACTTTGAACGCAGGTGACCTGATGACATATTTGTGGGTCAGTACCTGGGAATTTGATACTCACAGTTCCTCTACAACTCCAAGATGACAGCGGTGTAGATTCTCAAGATGAATATATACCCAGTGAGCATAGCTTATACTGTCTCTAAAGAAGTTTCCTTTATGTTTGATATTATTTTTTGCCTTTATAGATTGACTTCAAGCCTTTTTGAATGTGAACCTCACAGTGGGGTTTGTTTTTACTATATTAATTTGGATTTGACATAGAGAGGTATAAAAGAAGAAAAACGATGACAGGCTTCATAAAATTTTTTAAAAATTATAGTTGAATGAAAAAATTCCTGGAGGGACACACAAACAGTGGCTACTATCTTGACATGCCATGGAAGGCGGCAGTGAAGGGGGAAGGACACTTTTGTAATTCATGTTATTCCCTTCCATAGTGTCTGAATGATTTACAAGTATATGTATCACTTTCATTAGAATAAAAAAGTAAAGACTAAGAATTTATTTTTAGGAGAACCGAACATACTGTGGAATATGGTCCTACCATGTCCGGCTCTGGATCTCCAGGGACTGCCAAAGAGGAAGTGTTTGAGAAATGCTCATTGGAGGGGTGTATGAATGAATGAATGTGCAGATTGCCACTGTGGAGAGCAAGGTGGACTTCCAAGAAGGAAAAGTGCTCAGCACTGGGTTATGGTTTTCATAAATACTGGGCCTATATTCTTACCATGAACTTTCAAAGTAATCCGCTTGTAGTCAGCACCGCCATAGCCAATCAAGCAGCAGTAAACCCCAGCATCCTGCAACTTCACATCTGTGATCTGAAGCGCAGCCTTCCCCAAGAAGAGCTGGTCCTTCAGCAGCTGGGCCCTCTGGCTGTAGCTGCTGTGCTGAACTTGCAGGTCTTCTTTCCCATTCACAAACTGAATGATTTTCTTATCCTCCATTTCCCAGTAAACAATTAGTGCAAGCAGGTTTAACTGTTTTTCTATTGGGAATTTGCACTCCATGGTCACATTGCCGCCGTACTCCACCACATACAGGTCCTTGGAAACTGTGATCATAAATGCTGAAGAGAAAGACGACCAATTTTCAGAAGATGGGAAACTCCTCAAAAAATTTACAGATAGTTTCAGTAATTATCCCTGGGAAATGGATAACAGGTAATGGACAAGTAGATAATGGGTTAATTTTCTTTCTTTTAAGTTTAACCATATTCCCTATATCTTTGTCCAATGAAATGGGTTTATGAGATACAGAAGGAAAAACAGAATATTTTCTCTACAAAAAAACTTACATCCATCTTAAGTAATTATTGTAGTTTTTAACTTACAGTTAAAATATTTAAAATATAGAACCTAATGAAAGGACCTGGTATCTTACCTTTCAGCAAATGGCAGTAGGCCATGAATGCAAAGAGGCTAAATATCTTCATCTTTCTCGAGTGACCTAATTATGGAAAATGCAAAAAGAAAAATGCTTTATTCAATAATTGAACATCCAGACATTATGGGTCTTGGCAGTTCTAAATGAAATAGTCTTCTGATAACCAGAAAAATGACTGATTGGTTAGTGTGGAAATGCAGCATGGAATTTAGAAGTTTAATACCTTTACTTATAACCCACAGTCCTATAAAGCCAAGTGGAAAAAAGTTACTATGATGAGAATCTTTAAATGTAATTACAAGGCCTGAAAAAAAACTTATAATGAACACTCGAAAGAGGCCAAGAAGAAAATATCGCACTAAAATCCTCTCAACTATTTCATGTTTTTTCTGCAGTGGAACATATCTAGAAATCCAAACCTGCACTGTGCAAAATTTCAAAGCAAGGACAACCTGACTTCATATCTCCCACCTTTTAATGCTTTTTATTCCTCCCTTGCCTCTGAATATTTTCATCCTATCCTTAACTACTCAAGCCTTCCGTATCACCATCCCAGCTATGCCCCTTTTCCCGCAGGTGCCATCCTTCAGAAATCTACTCTTCTGTCCTTGGCTTATTCCAAGTTATAAATCCTATTCTCTCAATAAACTGATTCCACTAGTAGCAGGAGTGAGAAGGAGAAACAGTTGAATTTGACCAATTCAGACTAAGGTGTGAATGACTTACAGCCACTCTTTTAGTGGTATCTGCCTTAATTCTATTCTTCATTTTGTCATTCTGCTTGAAATTCTACCAATTCTTTAATTCAGCAAACATTGATTGAGCACCTCTTCTGTCCCAGGCATTGTTTTAGGTACTAGGAATACAGCAGTGAACAAGAAAGAAAAATCACTCTCATTTTGGACCTTATATTCAAGTAGGGGAGTAAATAAAGATTTATACTGCATTTCAGCAAATTTGTTTATTTTTTTTTTTAATTTTATTATGTTATGTTAATCACCATACATTACATCATTAGTTTTTGATGTGGTTTTCCATGATTCATTGTTTGCGTATAACACCCAGTGCTCCGTGCAATACGTGCCCTCTTTAATACCCATCACCAAGCTAACCCATCCCCCCACTCCCCCGAGAACCCTCAGTTTGTTTCTTTATTAACACATTTCCCTCTTGTGTTATACATATATTTACACACTTTGAGAAGTCAGTTTTCCCTCTTAAGGTCTCTTTGACCTTTTGTATACATATAAAAACTCACCAATGATCTATTAATCTATGCTACACATATATAAGATGGAAGATTTATGCTCCTAATATATAAATAGCTCCTAAAAAAATCAATAAGAAAACCACACACAACCCAAAAGAAAATGAGCAAAAGGTTCTAGCATACAGTTCAGAGAATAAGAAATACAAACAACATCTACACATCAGAAAGGATGCTCAATCTCAATTTTTAAAAAAGTATAAGTTTAAAACATTAGGTACTATTTTTCACTTATTAGCTTAACCAAAATTATAAAGATTCCTAATATTTAGTGTTTGTAAAGATATGAACAAATGGGTTTTCTCACTGGGGGGTAGGTAGGAATGGTAGGAATGTGAAGTTATATAACCTTTTTTGGAAGGCAATTTGATAATCTCCACTAAATTTTTAAATGTATATGATATATGAGCTTTCACTTCCCCTCCTAGAAATGTATCCTACCAAAACAAAAACATATATATAAACAATACATGTGAAGTGATGACATTGATAATTCTAGCCACAAACTGGGAATATTCCAGATAGACTAACTAGTTAAATAAATGTTGTTATAGTCCTACAATGTAATACCACTAAGGACAGAATTGTATTGATTTTGCAAAGATGTAGAAAGTAAGTTGCAGAGCTGTACATGCAGAAATCTACTTTAGTTTAAAAACAAAGGAAGAAAAATCTGTGTGTTTAGACATAGGAAATGTCCGGAGAAATCCATACCAATATGCTGATAGTGATTATCTCTAGGAGTGAAATCAGAGGGATGATAAGCAGGTTTTCACTTTTTTATACTTTTTTAAAGATTTATTTATTTATGAGAGAGATAGCAGGGAGAGAGGCAGAGGGAGATGGAAAGAGAGAATCCCAAGCAGCCTCCATGCTGAGCGAGGAGCCCCAAAAGAAGCTCGATCCCACAACCCTGAGATCATGACCTGAGCCTAAACCAAGAGTCTGATGCTAAACTGACAGAGCCACCCAGATGCCCCATTTTTTAAATAATTTTTAAAAGGAAGAAAGGATGGGAGGGGAAAAAAAAGGGAGAGGAGATTGTTAATGATTTCTTTGTTTTTGTGTCCACATTTTCAAATAGATACGTTTTCCTCTTAGTAGAAAAAAATAAAAAAACAAATTTAGTGAACCATTTCACCTTGCTAAGCTGCAGAACGTTTGGGAGATAGAGTGGTAGAATGGAAAGAACCCTAGAAACTCACACATCAGAGTTGAGGTAGAATGATATTTGTTTATTTTTATGTTTTTTCTTCATTATTTAAGTAATAGAAACACAATATAGAAAATGAGAAAAGAAGGGGAAAAATCACCCACTATTCCATTACTTTAACCCAGGAAGCATTTGCTAATGCCTAGAAGTAGTTCTGGTTCTCAAAATGCAGTGGGGTGGGAGCGAGGATTTCTACTTTCTAGTGGGTAAAGGTCATGTTGCTGCTAACCATCCTACAATGCGTAGGACAGCCACCACAGCAGAGATTTGTCTAGGCCTAGGTGTCAACAGCGCCAAGGCTGAGAAACCTTGCAACCACTGTGAGCATTCCAGTATACATTTTTCTTCTAGTCTTTCCCCCTATGAATCTTTGTAAAAACAATTATAACCTTATCATATATTTAACACTCATTTTTCATTGACTGTTACAATGTTTTCCATTTTACTGAATGATATTCCTAAGTATTTTAGTGTTCCCATAATGTTTAGTTCCCCTATTGTTAGGTTTAAGATTGTTTCCAGTTTTAAAAATATCATACATATTTGTGTATTCAGCAAATATTTGGTAAGTGCCTACTGTGTGCCAGGCTGCAGGCCAGGCCCTAAGGACAGATTTCCGCAAGTGGAATTGTTGATCAAGGAGAAAGAACATCTTCCTGGTTCCTGATACGTGTGGATAATTGGTACCAGTTACATTGTACCTTTACTGGGTATGGTTTTAAAAATATTTTTTCTAATTTGATTATTGAAAAGTTATAATTTGAATTTTTCATGGGTTTGTTAATTATTTTGGTTCTTTTGTGAATTATTTCATCATTTTTTGGCATGTTTATCTTATTAGTTTCTTATCAATCTGTATGAACCCTTCATGTTTACGTATACATATATGGGTAAGAATAAAAAACCATAAAGTAAAATAAGTCATCATTCTCTTGTTAGTGTTAGGTGCATAATTCCTATTTCTCTCCTTTCTCTCTATTCTCACACAGGCCTGTGAGAACATGAAGACTGTTGAAAATGAGGATGCAGAAGCTATCTCCCTGACCTTTCCTTGGGCAAAAGTTGATTACACAACAATTACAAAATACTGTAATATAAGAAACAGAAATATATTTATTGGGCAAAAGAAAACTTAAGATACCCCTTAAGATACCCAAGCAAAGAACTGCTGAATAAAACAAAGAGAAATAAAATCAATTCATAGGTTAAAACCAGTTTTGCCAATGTTTACGGCATTTGGTTAAAAATTTAGGGGTAATAAAGTTTACTGGAAGCTGATGGGTTAGACCTGGTATTTACCTAATTCCTCATGATACCACCTTTTCCCAAGGTTTCCTTCCCTTGGAGTACAGCTGTCATTAGTGCGGGGTCAAAAAGAACAGAGACTATGTGAATAACCGTGGTCTTTGATCCCTAAACCCCACATCAGGGCAGTTGGTCTAAGAGAACACTGACATCTTCAAGTAAGAAACTATATAATGGTTTATCTGGATTCCCAGACAAGAGCATTCAAAGAGCAAGGAAACAGGAACTAGGGAAGAAATGATGGTTCATTCAGGATGGAGAAGCAGGTTTGTCCCTGGGGAACTCATTATAACACTACGGAACTGGTAGTACTTCTCTATCTCCCAAGGGTAGCAAGCGTAGGAGGAAAAGACAGGAAAAGAATTCAAGCTTCCTTTCTCAAAAGTAGGAACAAGGAGTGTCTTGATAGCTGTTGGTTTAGGGTCTCCTTTGACTTTTATTTGATGTATATAAACTATAATTTGATTTAAAAAAAATTCCTAGAGTTCAACAATGTATCTCCAAGATGAAAACCCACCCCATTAATAGATCAAGAGAGTTGATATATTAAACCCAACTAAAACCTGTGCCAAACTCCTTCCCCTCCTCAGTCACCCTGAGACATTCTTGTATGTTTCCCAGGTGGCTTCAAATCCCCGCACTATCTCAGTGGCTTCTCTTAAGACTACACTCTAACTACTTTCCTGTAACCTCTGCCTACTCTATTCCACTGAAAAAGGCTGATTTTTTTTTTCTTTAGACTATCATAGTTCTTTTTTATTTATTTATTTATTTTTTATTTGAGAGAGAGAGAGAGCGAGCATGAGAGGGGGGAAGGTCAGAGAGAGAAGCAGACTCTCTGCTGAGCAGGGAGCCCGCTGCGGGACTCGATCCCGGGACTCCAGGATCATGACCTGAGCCGAAGGCAGTCGCTTAACTGAGCCACCCAGGTGCCCTAGACTATCATAGTTCTTAAAAACTGCGGGCAACTGCCAATGTAAACTGGCTTTTTCTTGAAGGTGATTTCCAATTTGCACCAAAAGGCCTTTAAAATATTCAGACTCTTTGCCTAAGTAGTTAAACTTAAAAGAGTTTATCTGAAGGAAATAATCAGTAATGTCCCAGAGATTTACAAGCAATGATGTTCACTAAATGGCTAAGACACTTAACCACTGTAAATAATCTTTATGTCCAGCATGGAGTATTAATTTTGTACCATGGAATGCAGCCATTAAAAAAATATATACCACATTTTAGAAGACTATTTAATCCATAGAGGGGCGCC